GGTTGCAAGATGATTTTTTTTCTCTTTCCAATAGTTAACTAACTACTCTAGTGATAACTTTCTTCCTATGAACTAAGCAGCCTAGGGAGTGTGTGTGTGATATTGTGTGTGTATGCATGTATTTAAATTTCTTCCTTCTTTTTCTTCCTATCTCTTTAATTAGTTTTCATTTGTGATAGCTTGGGGGATAGTTCTTTCTAGAGCAAAATCCCCTCTGAAACACACCCTGTCTCAAGCCACCCCGTGCTGCTGGTGCCTCTGTGTCTTGGCAGCACACCCTCACACTGGGGCTGCCTCCCGAGTCATTCCTTCCATCCCAGAGCACCCCTGCGTCTTCCCAGAAATATCCGTGAATGGAGCTGTTCAGAATAGGCCATGGGAACTGGCCGGAGGCTGTAAATCCATCCTCTTCTTGGCATGATGGGGCTAGAGAAGCCCAGACCAGCACAAGACATGGGAGAAAGGGAAAAGCCAGCATCTCTGGAGAAGCAACACAAGGTCCAAGGGCCTCCCTCTGCCACACTAAATACACACCATTCATAAAAAAAAAAAAAAAAAAAAAAAAAAAAGCCCTAGCTGGTTTGCCTCAGTGGATAGAGCATCAGCCTGCGGACTGGAGGGTCCCGGATTGCATTCCAGTCAAGGGTACATGCCCAGGTTGTGGGCTCCATCCCCAGTAGAGGGCGTGCAGGAGGCAGCCGATCCATGATTCTCTCTCATCATTGATGTTTCTCTCTCCAGCTCCCTCTCCCTTCCTCTCTGAAACCAATAAAAATATTTATTTATTTTTTAAAAGGAAAAGATACTGGTTGATCTTGGGAGGGAAAAATTCCATTTAAAAAAATAAAATCCTGTTTTAGCTTCTTTTTACGTGGGGTGGGCCTACCAAATGCTCTTTCCCGGAATTGAGCTCTGAGAGGAAGGCAGGCAGACAGAGATGGCTGTTTGCACCAGGGCCCACGGGAGGGCAGGCTGGACTGTTTCTGCTACGAGATTTTTTAAAATGTGTATTTTTTAAAAATATATTTTATTGATTTTTTACAGAGAAGAAGGGAGAGGGATAGAGAGTTAGAAACATCGATGAGAGAGAAACACCGATCAGCTGCCTCCCGCACACCCCCCACTGGGGATGTGCCCGCAACCAAGGTACATGCCCTTGACCGGAATCGAACCCGGGACCCTTCAGTCTGCAGGCCAACGCTCTATCCACTGAGCCAAACCGGTCAGGGCTAAAATGTGTATTTTTATTAATTGCAGAGAGGAAGGGAGAGGGAGAGAGAGATAGAAACAGCAATGATGAGAGAGAATCATGGATAGGCTGCCTCCTGCCTGCCCCCATGGGGGGAATCGAGTGCATAACCCAGGCATGTGCCCTTGACTGGAATCAAACCTGGGACCCTTCAGTCCACAGGCCAATGCTCTATCCACTGAGCCAAACCGGTTTCGGCATGCTGCAAGATTTTTGCTGTGGTTCTTAGGGCCTTACTCTGTCTTCCGGTTCCCAACTTCTCAAGCCTGATCCTTCAGCTCCCATGTACTTTGTGAGTTCCCTGATATTCTTTTACTTAAGTTAGCCAGAGTAGTTCTCTGAAGCTTTTTTTTTTTTTAATATTTTTATTGATTTCAGAGAGGAAGGAAGAGGGAGAGAGAGATAGAAACTTCCATGATGAGAGAGAATCATTGATCGGCTGCCTCCTGCAAGTCCCCCGCTGGGGATCAAGCCCATAACCCAGGCATATGCCCTTGACCAGAATCGAACCTGGGACCTTTCAGTCCGCAGGCTGATGCTCTATCCACTGAGCCAAACCGGCTAGGGCAGGTCTCTGAAGCTTTTAAGCATGACTACTCCCTGGCAGAACAGAGCTCTGTTACCCTGTGGTTTGGTGAAAGGAATCAATTGCAGGAGGAGTCCCACTCGGGGAGTGGGGTTGTGGTCCTAGGCTTGCTCACTGTCTTAGGCTGGTCGTAGGGCTCTGGCTTGGTGTGGGGAAGCACGGGACTTGGTTGGAAAGTCTGGAAGGAGGATTCTCTGAAAGGTCAGGGGGCCTCTAGGGAGACCTTGTTGAAGGCAGCAGCCCCTGCCTTGACTTTTCCAAACAAGTCCGAGCCCCCGGGTGTTTTGCTGGAATCTCTGTGTTTAGTCTTTAGACCCGACCTTGTAGAAGCATGTGCTTTCTCAAGGATACTTACCCTGCTGGCTGTGTCTAGAGGTTAATTTGAGTTCAAGCTGTTGTCACAATAAAAGCCTAAGGAGGCAGGCGAATGGGGCATTCCAGTTCCTCTAGCCAGGCAGTCCCTTAGCCCTCTCTTTCACAGAAATGTGTGTCAGAGTAATCCATTCATCTGTCGCTCAGGGTCTGCCGATCAGTCCCGGCAGTTTGGGGACAAGGTTATGCCAGAAATTGGTCCTAACTGTGTCTTACTGTCTATCTAAATCTGGGACAGTTGACATTGGCCAGGACCGACTTCCTGGAGAATCAGGCAAAGGGCAGATGGCTGACTTCAGAATTTTCCTGTAACAAGATAGTGTCAGTGTCTTGTGGTCTAGGGTTGACTTGGGATAGATAGATACAAGCAAAGGTAAGTGAACTCTTAGGCTGCTGAAAAGGGTCAGCTATCTCCCCACCCCAACCCTAACCAAACATATCTTGTCTTTTGTGTAAATTTACGTCTCTAGTGAGGATGGAAAAGTGGAGAAACTAATCTCCACTTACATGATTATCTCCTGGAATTATCATCCTCAAACAGTTTGGACATCTTGCACTCTAGGAATGCTGACTACCAGAGAGGTGCTGGGGGAGGTGGGGTTGGGCAATTCTGCCTTCAAGCACTTAGTGCAGTTCTCAGGCTAGCCTGGAGGTGGCGCTGTTTATACGTGGTCACTTTGGGCTAATAAATCAAGACACCAAGAGGGACAGTAAGATTTAACAGTGGAACCTTGCTTTGCATGTTTATACTTGGATTAAAGGGCTTATAATTAGTGAAAAATGAGTGAAACTCAAATAATCTTTGGAGTGGGGCAGAGAACTTTCTAAGAATCACAGAAAACTCAGAAGCTATAAAAAGACTAGTCTGACAAAATTGACATCATAAAAATGTCAAAGTTCTATATCTTAAAAAATAGCAAAAAGCAAACAAAATATTGAGAAAAACAGCAGCATTTTTTGTGACAAATAAAGGAATCACTACATTTAAAAAATATTTTATGGTTTTATTGGTTTCAGAGAGAGGAAGGGACAGAGAAAGACAGAAACATCAATGATAAGGGAGAAATATGGATGGGCTGCCTCCTGCACAACCCTTACTGGGGATGGAGCCTGCAACCCAGGCATGTGCCCTGACGGGGAATCCAACCCTGATCTTCTGGTTTATGGGTCTACACTCAGCCACTGAGCCAAACCAGCGGGGCCAAAGGAATCATTTTCTTAACATACAAAGAGCTCTTATGGATAACTACAATTTAAAAAGCAGGGAGCCTATAGGAAGAATCTGTTCATAGAAAATGAGATTAAAAACGCCAATAAACATAAAACCTTTAGCAAACATTCACAAAATGAAAATTAAATTTCCATGAAATGAAATTTAAATGACAACTAAAACAACAAGTGAAGTCATTTGTGTGTGCCTCCAGTAATTGCTCTGTACGAACACGCACGATTGTTCCATCTATCACAGATCTTTAAGAGTGTCTTTCTCTCCGTCTTTATATTTCCCCTTGGACTTCCAGGCAGTTCCTTACTTGCCATACAGCCTCCGCTTATCCTCAAGCCTTATCTCTGATGGGGCAGAGGCCATGCGCTCAGAAAAGTGCCTTCTTCCCGAGCCCAGGCCCCTGCTGGCCACGCCCAGGATTTAACAAGACCCGACTTGCGCCTGGCCAATCGGCAGGGCCCACAGCCGGCTCCCCTCCCCTCACTATTCTCACGGGGGGCACTCGGTTTTCCGGTTGCTGCGTCGACTGGAGGCCCGGGTCGGGTTAGCTAACTCAATAAAGGACCTTCTGCTTTTGCATCGGACTGACTCCCTGGCATGGTTTCTTGGGGATCTTGAATTCTGGGCATAACAATCTTCAAGCACGCCAAGCGTGGGAACACCAGGATAGAGGTCACCTCCCATTGACAGCAGGGAGACCTGGAAAGGTGTGCTGAGGGTGGTGTCTCTGGGGGTTTGCTGATGGAAACAGACGAAAGAATGGGAGTTCCTGGCCGAAGAGACAGGACAGGGCATTCTAGACACAGGAATGCCACTTGCAAAAAACAAAGGTGTAACCCTAGCTTGTTTGGCTCAGTGGATAGAGCGTCGGCCTACGGACCAAAGGGTCGCGGGTTCGATTCCAGTCAAGGGCACATGCCCAGGGTTGCGGGCTCAATCCCCAGTGGGGGGCGTGCAGGAGGCAGCCGATCAATAATTCTCATCATTGATGTTTCTATCTTTCTCTCCCTCTCTCTTCCTCTCTGAAATCAATAAAAATAGATGTAAAAAACCCCAAAAAACAAAAGGTGTATTCGCCAGCCAGGTGCACCTTCAATTTGGGGGAGGGGTGCTGGGCTGGGGCGATGGGGGGCTATTACTATGTAGATGCCTTTCCTCCTCCAGGGCTGCTTTTGACCGTCCAGGGGCTTAACCACAGCTGGAAAGGACCTTCAAGTCCCTTCATCTAACTTTCACTTTTTATAGACAAATATAGGAAAGCTTCAAAGAGGTGTAATGACCTGTTCCAGGTTACAGCTCTGGCCAACACTGCAGTCCTGAGGGCCAGCCCGCGGATTTTCTGCCTCTGGCCCTCGGGCGCCGCCCAGACTCTCAACCCCAAACGCCTCTCCCAGGCCTGCAGCCTGGGTGGTCTGGGTGGATGGACTACGTCTCCCACAATGCCTTCGGCCTAGCCTCCTGCCCGCCGCCGGCTGGACACCGTATCTACCAATAGGAAAGCAGAGTTTCAGGGGCCGTTCTAGGTAGCCAATGAGAGCGGTTGGGGGCGGGCCTCTACCGTCCATTGTTCTCGGTGCCCCTTGGGCCGGAGCCGTCGCGATTCCCGGGGCCCGGCCGTGCCCCGGGCGCTTGTGCACACAAAGCCGCCGCCGGAGCAGGATCTGGTGCCCGGGGAGGTGAGCCCGGAGAGACAGGCCTGGAGCCTCGCGGCCCAGGAGGGTAGCGCGAGGCGTGGGAATAACGGGCCTGGAGCCAGTGCTGGCAGCCTGCTGGGGGAGGGGCGTGGGGGGCGCTCTCCGCGGACCCGGGGGTCTCGGTTTACGCGTTGGTTCGCCCGGCGAACCACGCGGGCTCTTTTCCCTGCAGCGAGCTCCCCGCATATCCAACGGGGGCGCAGGGTTTGGACTGGATGCGCACTGGCCGACATCCCGCGCAGCGCCTCGGTTTGCACGTGGGGAAACTGAGCCCAAAGGGGGCGTGTCTTGGCCCGGGTCACACGGAGACTTGGCTTATTAGGAACAGTTTCCCTGGGTTTCTGAGTAAGAGTCCTGTTACCCTATTTCTTCTAATCCTTGTAAATACAGATTGGGAAATTCGGTTTTCCCACTAGCATTCCGATTTTATTTTATTTTTTAAAAAAAGCTTTTCCTTTTTGGGGGAGGTGGTGTTATCTGAGTATGATATATTGATTTTTAAAAATAATTTTTCATTGCTTTTATAGTCTTTATTTTGTAATTTCACTGCTCTCAACATCTTGTAGAATTTCCATCCAGCTCTTTTTTTTTTTTTTTTTTTAGTCTTGTGTGTGTTCATTTTTAAAGGGAATTGGGGTCATACTATAACTGTAGTTTTAATGCCTTGCTAAAAAAATAACAAACTCACAAAAATTTAAAAAAAAAGAAAAGCCTTGCTGGTTTTCTCTTTATCCCTAATTTTCATATTGCGGATATCTTAAATCTTTAATGATTAATAATCTTTGTCAGCATACTTTTAAAAATACTTTAAAATACATACAGCAGGGTGCACAAATGTCATATTTATGCTTTTGTGCAACCATCATCAAATCAAGATAACAGAACATTCCCAGCACCCCAAAAGAGGCTCCTTTGAGCTTCTTCTCAGTCAGTACCTCCCAAAGGTAGCCATTATAACATCAGCATCATTTTTAATCCATTTTACTGTATGGATGTGCCATACTTTATTAACCATACCCTGACTGCTGGATTTTTAATGTGTCCATTTTTTAATTTTTATTTTTTTGCAATTAGAATGCTATGGTTGGATGTCCTTGCAACTAAAATTCTCTTTGCAAAGATAGTTACTCTAAAAGAAAATTCCTGAGGGGCAAGACTAGATGGAAGAGTCTGAACATTTAGAACTCCATGAAAAAAATTTTTTTTAAATCCTCCCGAGGTTACTTTTCCATTGATTTTTAGAGTAGAAGAGAAAAGGAAAGACAGAGAGAAACATCGATTGGTTGCCTCCTGCATACGCCGCGACCAGGGCCCGGGCCAGGGAGGAGCTTGCAACCGAGGTACATGCCCTTGACTGGAATCAAACCCGGGACCCTTCGGTCCGTAGGCCAATGCTCTATCCGCTGAGCCAAACTGGCTAGGGCAAAACTTCATACTTTTAAATATGGTAATCATGCGGTTGAGATACTGTCTTCCTTCTAGTGAGGCTCAGTCTCTTGACATCTGAGCCATTGCTAATCCTTAAGATATCCCCGTAAAATAAGAAGGATGATGTTATCATCTCTGTTTAGTGGTGGTCAGTGAGGTTGATTTGAGTGTGCGAGGTCAAGGTCACTCACTCTGCAGCGAGTCTGAACTGGCTTACGGCAGGATAACTCAGTCCTGGATTCTTGCCAGGGCTTTGGACTTCTGACACTCATGCTTCTGTCTTTTGGAAAGAAAAATGCTGTATATTTTGTGTTTATGCTTCTTCTTAACTTCTCTTGCCAAAGAGAAAGAGAGAGGTTTTCAGGAATAAGTCATTTTGCCTTTAAGAGGGACAGGAAACTTGTTGATTTGCGGACGTAAGAATCACTTGGTGGGCTGACCTGGGCTGCTGTGAGTTAGATCATTTTGGGACTGTTTACTTACTGATCCTGGTTCTCTTTCTCATTTCTCAGCTGGGCTACTTGTTGAAATTCGAGGAGGGACGTGTCTTCTCAGAGAGCTTGGCTGGATAAGACTGAAGTTTAAGGCTAGAAGCCTGCGCGATTGTCCCCGGGAACGTGGGTGATGGCTGCAGAGGTGCCCAGAGTGGCCACTCCCCTGAGCTCCTTGGCCCAGGTACCTCACGAGGAAGACGAACAGGAGGCGGAGGTCACCACCATGATCCTGGAGGACGACTCTTGGGTACAGGAAGCTGTGATGCAGGAGGATGGCCCGGAGTCCGAGCCCTTTCCCCAGAATGCCGGCAAGGGCAGCCCCGGAGAGGAAGTGGCTGGAGGGCCGCAGGGTGCCCTGGGCCGCCTCCGAGAGCTTTGTCGGCGCTGGCTGAGACCAGAGGTGCACACCAAGGAGCAGATGCTGACCGTGATACCCAGGGAAATCCAGGCCTGGCTGCAAGAACACAGGCCCGAAAGCAGCGAGGAAACAGTGGCCCTGATGGAAGACTTGACCCAGACCCTTCGGGACAGTGGTGAGAGGCTGAAACTCATAGGGAGAAGGTGGGGGCCCCCTCTGAGGTCGAGGAGGTCAAGGTGGGATCCAGGTCTAAGTTGGGGACAGCCCCATGTCTCTGTGCTGTCTGTGGAAAATCGGCACGTTGTCACTTGTTTATTTTATTTATTTTGGTTTTTGTTAATCTTCTCATCCGAGGATATTTTTCCATTGATTTTTAGAGAGAATAGAAGGGAGAAGGAGAGACAGAGAGAAACATCGATGTGAGAGAGACACATCGATTGGTTGCCTCCTGCATGCATCCTGACCAGGGCTGGGGAACCTATAACCAAGGTGCATATGTACCCTTGACCAGAATCGAACCTGGGACCCTTCAGTCCGCGGGCCGACGCTCTATCCACTGAGCCAAACCACCTAGGGCACATTTTTACTTTTTAATTGTTTTAAATATATCTTTATTGATTTCAGATAGTCAGGGAGAGGGAGAAAAATAGAAACATCCATGATGAGAGAGAATCATTGATCGGCTGCCTCCTGCAAGCCCCCCACTGGGGATCAAGCTCACAACCTGGGCATGTGCCCTTGACTGGAATTGAACCTGTGACCCGTCAGTCAGCAGGCCGACGCTCCGTCTACTGAGCCAAACCAGCCAGGGCACACTGTCATTTTTTTTTTTTTTTTTTAGCCTACAGCACCCGGATATTGTCACTTTTTTAAAGTCCTTGGGTGCAGTGAAAGTTCCAGAATTTCAGTGCGGAACTGAGTATTCTTGGAACTGTATGTGCGTAGCAAGCCTGGTTTTTACTTCTGTGTTTATTCTGAGTGGTTGGGAAGCTGAAGGAGGCTTGGGGGAGGGGCTGATGAGCCTATAAATCACTCCTTGGAACCTTCACTTGGTTGTGCAATGAACATCCGAAGGTGTGACGTTCCAGCAGCTAAAAAAACAAATCCTAGTTTTAAAAAGTGATTATTTTTTATGAATCCAAGATGAATGGTGAGCAAACCAGGGGCTTTTCTGTGGCACAGAGTCACGCTGGGCTCTCACAAGAGGAATTACAAACGTGAGTTCATTGCAACCGTTAATATATTTGTCTCCTGACTCTGCCTCCGCCATCTTGCTCCTCACTTGTCAACTGGACTCCCTTGATTTCCAGATATTTACTTCCCATCCACGGGTGCCCCCAGCACTGCTTCAGGGCCCACGGGAAACGGCTGCCGAGTGTGATGAGAACTGCAGGAGGAGAGGCGAGGCCAGCGAGGCTTTCTGGAGGATGTGGAACTGAGCAGGGGTTGCAGGCTGGGGTCGAATTTGGAGAGGCGCAGGGCAGGCGGAGGGTGGCATCCGAGAGGAGCTGTGCGAAGCGGAGGCTCGGAAGGGTGGACCAGCGTGGCATAGTTCAGGTGTCGGCGAGAAAGGCTGGCTGATGAGAGTGGAAAGGGTGTGTTTTGGAAGTGGTAGGAAGTAGGGTGTGGGGGAAGGGTGGGTGGAGGCTTGGCCTCAGCAGGTTCTTGAAGTGGGGCCCAAGGGGCAGGGGAGGAAGCCGAGTTTGGCAACAGGATGTGGGTTTGATTAGAGTAGGGAGAGGCTGGAGGCAGGAGAGCAGCCAGGAAGCCACTTAGACATCAGGTGTACAGGGGTCAGGCCAGGATGGGGACAACGGGGGGGAGGAGAGGAGTCTGGACACCTGTGAGAAAGAACCTGGTGACAATAGCTGGCATTTATCCATCCCTTTTTGTGGGCCAGGTAGTGTGTGTGGCATCTACTATGCAAAACTCACCGGGAACTTGACCACCTTGGGGGAAGCGAGGTCATTACCACTGCACAGCCTGTGAGTTGAGTGAGAAGTTCACTGACTCCCATGATGCCGTGCAGCTAGTGCGAGGCCAAGATGGAGCTCATGGGTCTGAGCATGGAACTCCTGTTCATCTCGTCTGTGATGCAAAGTGATAGTTCCCAGTGGGGTGTTGGCAGAGGGGATGCAGGCGGCACTGAGCCAGAGGTGACCAACCAGGGGTGTGTGGTCTGGAGGATGCAGAGGACTGGGAAGAGGAGAAAGGACAGAGGTTGTGACAACCTTCAGGGACTGGGGAGATAGGAGGAAAGCCATCTTTTGGAGAAAGGGACTGCTACGGTGAGCCTGGTCCTGCAGCGGGCACCTTACATGTCCCTCTCACTAACATTCTACAGGCGAGGTCATGGAAGTCCAGCAAGGTCAGCCCTTACTCGAGGTCACACAGCCAGGACGGAAACTCCAGTCTGTTCGCTTCCACTTGTGTTGGGTAGATCCTAGGTTGCATCTAAAGCAAAATACCTGATTTTCTTTGGTCTTGAAAAGTAGCTTTTGCCCTAACCGGTTTGGCTCAGTGGATGGAGCGTCGGCCTGCAGACTGAAGGGTGCCAGGTTCGATTCCGGTCAAGGGCATGTACCTTGGTTGCGGGCACATCCCCAGTGGGAGGTGTGCAGGAGGCAGCTGATCGATGTTTCTCTCTCATCGATGTTTCTAACTCTCTATCTCTCCCTTCCTCTCTGTAAAAAATCAATAAAATATAAAAAAAGTAGCTTTTAATTTTACTTCTCCTATTAAAAAAGAAAAAGACAAAAACCTCTCATCCTATTTATTTAATATATTTTTACTGATTTGAGAGAGGAAGGGAAAGGCAGCAAGAGAGAGAAACATCAATGATGAGAGAGAATCATGGATCGGCTGCCTCCTCCACACCCCACACTGGGGATCGAGCCTGCAACCCGGGCACGTGCCCTGACCGGGAATCGAACCGTGACCTCCTGGTTCCTAGGTCAGTGCTCAACCAGTGAGCCATGTTGGCCAGCTCATCCTTGGTTTACCTGCCTCCTGATGGATGGGACAGTTTGGAATGAACTTCAGGATCCTTAGGCAGATACTGCAGGGAGGCCAGAGGGGCTGGGGGCTGAGGAGAGGCCTCCGGGGTTGTGGTTTGGTTGGGGAAGTCACAGAGCAGGAGGTTAGGTCTCAGCAGGTGCCTCAGGCGATGATAGGCACCCGCTGCGCCAGCCCTCCCCACCTGGCTTCCTGCCTCCTGCCATCATCTCTCCTGGGACTCCCAGATGTGTTTGTCAGTCCTCTGCCTTCTGCCTTTGAGATCATCTCTGTTGGCCTTTGTTTAACAAATGCCCCTGGCCTTCCTCATGATTACGCAGAGGAACCTCTGCAATTATCTGCATCCCCTCTGGAACATTTACTCAGCCTGAGACCTCCACTCTGCCAGGCTCGGGACCTTTGGACGCACTTACCCAGGATGGTGGTTTAATATTGACTCGCAGGCATGCATCCTACTATCGCAGTTGAGATTGGACCTGTACTAAAAGCTCCTCTCTCTCAGTGAGTGTTTCCCACATGTTAGTCCTGAGCCCTGAGTCAGGCTCTTCGTATTTCTCCGAACTCTTGCAGGAGCCTCCAAAGGGAACCTGCTTCTCTCCCCTTCATTACAGCCGCTCCACTCCTACCTGAGTGATCGGTCATTCTTCTGCTTAAAAGTCTTTTTTTCTTTTTTTTTTTTTTTAATATAGAGGAAGAGAGATAGAAACATTAATGATGAGAAAGAATCATTGATCAGCTGCCTCCTCCACACCCCTTACTGGGGATTGAGCCTGCAACCTGGGCATGCGCCCTGGACCGGAATCGAACCCAGGACCCTTCAGTCCGCAGGCCGATGCCCTAAACACTGAGCCACACTGGCTTGGGCTCCTGCTTAAAAGTCTTCGTGAGCCAAAACCGGTTTGGCTCAGTGGATAGAGCGTCGGCCTGCAGACTGAAAGGTCCCAGGTTCGATTCCGGTCAAGGGCATGTACCTGGGTTGCAGGCATATCCCCAGTAGGAGATGTGCAGGAGGCAGCTGATCGATGTTTCTAGCTCTCTATCTCTCTCCCTTCCTCTCTGTAAAAAATCAATAAAATATATTTAAAAAAAAAAAAAAAAAGTCTTCGTGAGTTTCCCAGTGTCTCCAAATCAAGTGTCACCTTGTTCTGCTTGGAGCCCGGGGCCTCTGAGACCTGGCCCTGCAGCCAGTTTTCCCAGGTCCCCCTGCTGCAGCTCCTGCCCCATCCAGACCTAGTCTTGCTGTTTCTTGAACAGGCCTGTGCTTTCTAGCGTTCACCTGTGCTCCTGAATTCTGACTTGGAATGCTTTGGTCCTGTCCCTGCGAGTTAACATCCCGGTTGTCCTTGGAGTGTGCACCCGTGGAGACCCGCTCCATCAAAGCTGTCCTTACTTCCGGTCTCTCTTCCCTGTCCCTGGCTCCACCCACCTGGGGGGCCTCTCCAATCACCTCTGCTCAGATCACAGAAAACTGAAGTTTTCTCTCCGGTGCATTTTGATTCTTCTGATTCTTCTTCTCTTTTGGCGTTTTATCACATTCCATCTTATTTTCTATTTCTGTGAATATGTGTCTCATTATTTTTCTAGGAACCTATAAAATCCCAGAAGGCAAGGAACCTGTCTTTCTTTTCTTCTTCTATCTATAGAGAAATGGAGATTGTCAACTTCAAATCTACTCTTTTCCAACAAGTGATCCAAAGAGTGACAGCTGACCTCTCCAGCCATCCCCCGCATCACCCGGCTTTCTGTGGGCACTACTCTGAGCCTGCAGCCCCAGCAAAGTGCTCCCTTCAGGACAACAAATGAACAAAAAATATTCATTTTACTTAACAAGAAGGCGAGTGGAGAGGGTTGGAGGGTTGGAAAGGTGTATGTGTTTTTAAAGCGATGATTCTCAGCTTCAAAACAAAATCACTTTGAATTCACTTAAGTATTTGAAATGTATACCATACAGAACTCCTAGATGCAATGTTATAACGTAAAATGTTCGGCAGTCATTCGTTTATGCTGATAAGAGAGCTCATTGCTGTTTTTATCAGTGGTTAGTCTTTCAAGCAGCCAGAGTTCAGGTGGAACAATGTTCCCAGTCACTCAGGTGCGATCAGGTTCCTGCCAGGCTTTGATCAGGTTCGCACCAGGCTTTTCAGGGCAGCGCTCCTATGG